TGGACATAGGCTGTATATTATTCCGTTAAACATTCATATAAATTAAAATATATAATTTAGGTTAAGGCTTTTATGTCCAACAGATGGCGCTACGAGTACGACGCCTTAAGTTTGCTTTTCTGCGAGGCATTATGCTTTTCTGTGAAAATGAACTAAAGCAGATCATCTTCTATCTATCTATATAAATAAAAATGTAATGTTCGTTTGTTCCTACCGATTCCTTTGAAATTTTGACACAACGCTGCATTCGAATACGCACATGTTTTTATATAATATATATACATGACGAAATTTCCCCTGGGGGAGATGGACAGGATTAAGGCTTCCCGTAAAGAACTCTGCTTCTATTTATACTATTTTAAATGCGGTTTTATGCGTTTTTGAATGCGTTTTAATAGAGTACGTCAGCGATCAGTAGGAAAAGTCTTATGCTAAAGAAGCGATTAGTAGGAAAAATCTTAGCTGTTCGCTGTATGAACCAGAACCTGAACTAATTAGAGATGCAATACAAAGAGTTTGCCATCAAAGGTATAAGAAGCGACAAGAAGAGCATAAAGATTGTGCAGTACTGTTAATTGAAAAAGAAGAACAAAATAGCAGTGAAATATCATTAACTATTGTGTAAATTAGGTAATAAATGTTTTTTTTAAATTCGTATTATAGTGTCTGTATTTATATGAGCGTAAATGTACTATGATAAAGTATTTATAATTACATTTTAATCATGAATTTTTCTGGGTAAATAATCTGGGTTTTTTTCCCATCCAGACCCTAAGTCAGCAACCCTGGTCGTGAGTGTCGGCGTGATCCCGCTTAGCAGTGAGTTTCTGAGACATAGTCTTGTTACAAATACGGCTTTGCCGTTTTACTTGTTTTATTTATTACTGGTAACTATTTTTCATATATCTTTGTAATATTCATATTTCTCTTTACTTTATATCTTGTTATTGGTATGTCAAGAACAGTAGGGAAACAAATTACTTATTACTTATCGGCGTATATACCGTACAAAAGGGGACAAAGAATATTAAAAAAGGGCATTATATATTATGCAAGAAGCTACAAACTGTAGTGAATTGTTGGTTCAACGCTTTCACAAGGTGGCAGGTTTGCAATTGGGGCTATCGTGGCCTCAAAAAACAACGAACATTTCTTGTTTTCAAGGCCAAGTTTGAATAAGTTACGATGATGTTGCATGGGACAACAAAAATATCGTTTATTTGTTCGTTTTATATTCGCAAAATAGTCATAATTTTTTGGTCTGTTAAATATAGAATTTGGACATTGTTTGAGAGTTAGGAAAACAGCAACACAGAAGAGATGAGGAATGTGCCCCAACTTAATGTTCTGGCACCCCTAATAGAAAGATTTAAAAATTGGTGGTAAGATAAACTGGGTCGTGTGTGTATCTCCAGTAGGGTCAGACTTAATGACGATTTTACTTGTTAGTAGCATTTACAATTTTTTACAAAACTCATCCCTACCTTCAAAAGTAAGCTTTTTTGCCATTTTATAATAGTTAAAAATATAATACCTCTTAAATACAATGCCATAACAGATGGTGTCACCAAATGTTGCCTAGAAAGTTCCTCGTTCTTGGGTCGTTTAATATGAAAATTCGTTAGCGATATTAAAAAAAAAAAAAATAAAAAAGAATACGACACACAAATACTGAAACCTGTTATAGATAACATTCATACTTTACTTTATCTTATTATATTATTGTGTATAATTAGACTTTACATAATACATAATAAAATTTTCTAAATAAGAAATATATCAGCTTATCTAATTATAATAGAAGTTATATATAGAAAATACTATATATGTTTTTTATTACTAATTTATCAGTTTGATTAAATTTACCTTCATAATGAATATCTTATTTAAAATAAAGAACTTATTACAACTTATTCCGTCGTTCATACTTTTCTGCATTTGAAGCATGTTCAGCATCTATTTTAAATTTAAAATAACTAAATTAATTTAATTTAATATCATTAAGTAAAGTTTCTAAACGTAATCTAACCTTTAATTCTGAGTTGATATCGAAGGCATTGAAATAAACTGACATCAACAAATTCCACATCGTCGATAACTGTAACAAGAATAAAAGTGTATTAATACATTATAAAATTTATCGCTGAACTAAGTTATAGAAATATTAATATTTACTTCTACTGATAAAGGAACGAAAAGTGAAATAAAGAACACTAATGACAAAAACAATGCTAGAAAAATAACACAGCCGATGAATACAAGATAATTGGGACCTTCCATAAAAAGAATTGAGTATAAGATAATAATGGCTTCCATTAAAATAGATATTATTATGCAAATAATAATAACACCTCCCGCACGATCAACAGTTTTAATCAGATTATAGAACATTATTCCTTTCTTGTGTATAATAATGACATCCCTGATTGTTGTTAATTTTCTTTGTTGTATTTCAGTTGAAAAGGCGTATTTAATCTGCATTATAACACGAATTACTGTGTATCCGATATATACGAGTATCACTACAATACCTAAACCATAGCCAAGAAGAACAGCAATGTAACAGCAACAAAAAATATCAAAATCATCCCATATCTGCTTATTTCTGTATCTTAAATATATATACGCATTTAATAAAATCATGTAAAGATTAATGTAACTGACCAAGCAATAATATACAGCTTTTTTATGATATTTAGGGTCGTCTAATTTTAATTTAGGTGAGGAAAGAGCAAACAGGTGCACGATATTTAAAGATTTAATGAAATTTTTTATGACTTCTAAAGAATTAAATACATATATGTAAACTAATACAGAAAAAATCATGCACATAACGATTAAATGCAGAATTTTTGATATATTTTGAGGAAATGAAACAACACAATAATGAACTTCGTTCTCTGATTTATCCATCAGTGCTAGTATAGTTTGATATACAAATGAACTTAACATTATATATATAATGAATCGATAAAATTTTTGAACTTTGCTTTTGGAAACATTTTCCATAATATTAATACCGAAAATTCGAGCAGTATTTAAAATTCTGTAAGAATAATTACCAAGTATTTCTGTTATTACTTCTTGATTCATTATAGAGCTACTGTAAATGTGATACACTTTGAAATAATTGCTATATCTATCGTGCAATTAGTCTCATGGGAAAAATCGAAGCCATTAGTTTAATAAGTTCATATTAGACTTGTATTATTCCTGTTTTTAGGTTAAGCATTTAGGTAAGTAAACAATACATTAACTTCATTTATATATTGCATAAAAATAAATGTAATTGCCTTTATTCACATACTAGTAGTTATGTAAATATTACTTAAAAGCAATTTATATAAGAGTGTGCTGTTTGAATAAATTGTTTTAGAGCAGGGATTGTACATTATCGGGTATATATATAAGTTGGTACGTAAAACAAATATACAAAAAATATTAAGTGATGCTAATTCAAAAATATTTAATTCGTTATACAAGGTGGTTATATAATTAAAGTTGCCCTACTCAGACATGTATAGAAACCATTTTCTTTGACTTGTTTTGATGAATCTTGGTATATACGTTATATGGACCACAGGGAAAAGAAAAACGCAAAAATATATTTACTTCAAATTTCAACGACTAGGTGAAAAAATGGCGCATGCAGAAACACTATGTAAATTAAGAACCTTTTCAAAAGCCAGTAGTCGATGTCGTTTGTTTTCATTGTTTATCATGATTTTATAGATGAAGTTGTTTTATCACTGCACTGCGAGAATATCAACGCTAGAAAGGCTTGCGAATAGCGCCTATGACAGGGTATGGTTTGAGAAAAATGATTACCAAATTTGAAGAGACTGGAGAGTTGGGTGTTATAATTAATTTCTCATGATATTAATTCCGAAAAATTAAGCCAGGTTGAAAATTGCATAAAAATTGTCATGAAAAATATCTTTTAATTCTGTTCGTATCACTTTAAAGTACTTGATATTCTCGAAAATAACGGCTGTACTGTACAGTACCTATACATGCAATTATTTCACGAAAGCAATTGATCCAGTAACATTAATAATATTAAATCCCATTAAACCTGGTATCCGTTAAATTTTATATTATGGGTGCAAGAGAGTAAACAATCCATTAACTTGAGGGACATTATAGTAATAAATTTTATATTACTTAGTTTACCTAGCATAAATTTAAAACGTTAGGCTTTTAAGCTAATTATCGATATACAACTGCTTGTCGTATATCTTCCTACAGTGTCACTTACATAAATGGCAACTTTATGAAGATATACGACAAGTAGTTGTAGATAAATTACTTTCAGATATTTATTAGATATTTTTACATTTTCGGATCTGCTACATATAAATAGAAGAAATATATGGTGATAGGTGGAAAAATTACTCATAAAATTTTTGTATTTCTTTTCGTGAAAATTTGACACATCGAAAAGTTCAAAAATGGGGATTTTTTGTCATTTTGGATATGTCTGTGCAGAGTACGGTATTTTACACAATGTAAAGTTTAACAATTCTCGTATGTTATGTCGAAAATTTCTAAAATTTTGGTGGAAAGTTTTATACTATGAGGATTGATGCTGTTAAATTTTGACAATTAGAGATAGAGGAAGTGGGAAGATCGAGAGGTGTTATATGTTGTATCTTGAGTTGGGTTGAATTTAATGAAGATTTTACTTGTTGTTATCATTTACAATTTTTATGAAAATCATCTCTACTCTGAAAATTGAGCGTTTTCCCATTTTATATTAATTAATAACATTTCATAAAACCTTTTTTTATGATAAAATTTCATATCAGGCGGCAACACTTACAATTTGATATATTATGATTAATAATGTAAAAGTTATTTTTAAAATAAAGTGTGAGTTTTCAGACTAAGTACGAATCAGTTCTTACTTTTATAGACATGTTAAACGATTGAACAAGAAACTTTAATAAAAATAAACGTGACTCGAAAGTAATCAAGCAACCCCCGAGTGCGACTCCGATACATATTAAAAGTTACCAATCGGCGTCGAGCCTGAAAGTTCGAATTTTGACACTAACGCTTGTATACCATCAAGTTTGAATGGAATCGAAGAGAATAAATTTGACGAAAAAGGGAAAACTTTCAAATAAATCATTAGCATTCTAAAATGTCAAGGAAAAAACGAATAATGGGTTAAATTACGTGCTCATGTTTCTTAGTTACATCGACATCTCCTGATCAGAGTCTAAAGATAATGTGGGTAGATCGACTCAAATAGATTTTTTTCTTTCGACACGAACCCATCATATTTAACCTGGACACAGGAAAGAGAGCAATCAGGAAAAACAAGAGTAAGTCAGAACTGATTTAAAAAGAATTATTTAAGGAGGAATCATATATATAATCTCAGGACTTGAAAGACACGGAGCACAGAGGTAGAGAAACAATAGAAACGCAGTTTTTTTATATTGTACTATCGGATCGAATCTGCGTCACCCTTCTCCAAAAGCGACATCGAAATCGCTATAGACCTCCTGACGTTTCATCTCCGTTTATCGGACACGTATCCTTGAGCATCTAACTGCCGAATTTTACTTCGTCATTTAGGGCTCTTTTCGGAACTCCTTCCGAGAAATCGAACTTCTACTTCAACGAACTTTTTGCGATTTTTGGCGATTTTTGCCATTCATGGAAGACTCTTTAACTTGGTATAAATAAATCCTTTATTTCAAATAAACAGGTTTTTTTGTAAATCTGCTTTGTATAATTGTCTATGCTACTACCACCACCCTCTATCAAAAACACCCTTATCCATTCTGATGCGAGACTAACGATCCCCCCTTCTAGTCAGCAAACTCAAAACTTTTATAACAGCAAGAAAAGTTATGCAACTCGTTGCTAGATTTTTAATTCTTCAAAGTAAATTTACGATATTAAAAATTCAATTCAGAATGGAACGAATACAACTAATTAACAGGAACATCTTTAGCGAAATTTTTTGAAAAAGTCTTTTCACTGTGGACAAATTACAAAAATCTACCGGAAAATTATTATTTTCATGATATTGCCTAAACGATATAGTCTAGCCGAGATCTTATTAAACGCAAATCTTTCTCCAATAATCAATTATTTATTATCATAAAAAGTTTGGTATTGTGAATACGATTTAAATGAATTATATATGAAAATTTGATTAGAACTTTCAGTTAAATATTTTTACTGCTTTATTCCTATTAACAAGTTTCAAAAATCAAACCATAAACTGTTTTTCTTTGAAAAAAATTAAAATTAATTCAAATGAACACATTAAATAGTAATGACGACATCTATATTTCGTGTGCATAATTAAGTAATTTATATCAATCACTAATTTATACAGTCGGCTTCATTTAACGTTTGTCTGCTTCATTCCCATTTGTCTGCTATGTCGGCTTCATTTAACGTTGCACAGTATTGTTTAGGAGTGAATTTGGAAATGAATCGAAATTGTATTTCAAAAAATACAAGCAATTCTTTTAATAAGAATTATCACATAAATCTCATGCAGAATACTCTTACATAAAGTGTTTTGAGAGACATTTGAATTATTTCTGGTATGTAAATTGCACTATCAAATATTCAATGAAAATGTCCATAAAATTAATGGATTGTATATGTAATTCATCCATAACCATAAAATAGAGAAATTACTAATTACTGAATGACGACATCGAATGGAAGTAATTACATCAATGTCCTGACATATTCTACAGCAGCGATTCTGTAGAATATGTGAGGTCATGGACAGGCCAGAACCTTCGCTAAAATTCGCATTAAAATTTTCTATATTTTGTTAGAGTGAAAAATGAAAAAAAATTTTTCTTTATTAAAGTCACGACGTTACCAGACGTTACCTGACGTAAAGTCACGACGTTACTTGAGACTGAAGCTGACCAAAAAGCAACCAGATTTTAAAAAGCTGTGCAAAGAAAATCGTGCAAATTTGTCACATTAAAATTAAATAACCTTATGTTATTTTCATTATCATTAGAATTGTATTTTAAAGGTAATAAATGTAAAAAAACTTATTTTATTTTTTTACATTTATTACTACAGCTTCGCCCGCATTATATCGAATTTTCTCGTGAGAGTAAGATTTTCTCGCAGTAAAATGTACATCCCAACATGTAAGCTATCTATGTGCCAAATTTTATTAAAACCTGTTCAGTGGTTTAGACGTGAAAAGGTAACAGACAGACAGACAGAATTACCTTCGAATTTATAATATTAGTATAGATTAATATGAATTTCTGCTATAAAGGGTACACGAGTTTGAGCTTTTTCTTGAAGTGGTACGCAGGAAAAACTAATTGGAAACCACTGTATCAGGACAATATTATCTGCACATGCTATCACTTTCGCTTTTTGTATCA